GCTCCCCTGATTAGCCTCTAATAGATGTTTCATGGCCCTTGGTGCCAATGACTTAATAACTCTGTCCGCATAGGTTTATTTCCTCTTAATGGCACTCACCGCATGGCATCCATTAGTCGCTGTGACCCAATTTAAGAGTCATCGCTCACACAGCCAAAGCAGAGAGGCTGCCTGGATGAGCTGCTGCCCCAACGTGTCCACACGTAGGTGTCCATGCGCTGGCCTGCGTGTCGTCGATAACCTTAAGAAACTATAACTATATTATGAGACTTTGGTCGACTGGTCCCTTTCCAATGTCTGACAAAAACACTGGAACCATTCATGTCTACAGCTGCAGCACTGGCTTAAGTCACATTGGTGTAGCTTAGCTGGTTAGCTCACGGCCGGCACTCTGCACTGCTCTCAGACTGTTACAGCTGACCGACCGACCGGTGGCACCTTGCATGGTAGCCCCTGTCATCAGCGTATGAATGGGTGTGAAAGCGCTTTGAGTGGTCATAGGACTAGAGAAGAGATATACAAGTACAGTCCATTCACCATCCATTCACCATTTAACTCCGTCAGCTCTGTTGCTATTGTTTGCTCTGTTAGTTGCGAACTGCTGTCGCAGTCGTCGCCATGTTGAGAACCGCGTGGAGGCAATGGAAATTCTCCCAATCTTTAAGGTTAACATGCGTAACGCCAAATTTTTAATTGATTTTAACTGAGTTTTAAGGTAGAGGACAGCGTGTTGAGTTCTGCAATCTGTGAGCCGTTGTACGTGTTCTGAAAATAATATACAACCCCAGGATTTGTAATTACGTATTTTATTTTGTCTTTGTGGTCAGCCCACTGCCATATTTTCTTTTCTTTTCTTTTTATGCATGTTTTGAACAGGCTACAGTATTGCTACTGCGTGTGTGTGTGTGTGTGTGTGTGTGTGTGTGTGTGTGTGTGTGTGTGTGTGTGTGCGCACGCGTGCGTGCGTGAGGTTATGATTGAGCGCTGATGAACACGTCTTCTTGATGACCGCTGTGTCCAGCCAGCACCACCGCCAGCACTCGTTCAAATGAAAGCTCTCATTTGGCCTGAGGTCGGTGTGCTCTGGCACACTTCTTCTCTCCGAGGAGTTGTTGACACGAGTCCTGCTCTTCCTCACTCAACACATACAACCTCTTACGGACACATTGCATTCAGGAGAACCAACAGTGAGACTTGAAAGAAACTGCTTATTATTTTCTCCAAGTTCCCAATTTTCTGCTGCTTCTACGTTCGTTGAAAAAAAAAAAAAAAAAAAAAAAAAAAAAAGAAACCTGAAATTAAATGTGTGTACATTTTATCATGTCTCCTATCGCCTTTTGAAAATTGCAGGTAGCGGAGTGTTTAACATTCTCTTGTCAAGCGTCCTCCTGCTGGGACAATAAATGCCTGTCCAGTTTTGCTCACAGCGGCGGCTGCAGATTACAAACAGCAGGAGCACGCCGGAGTCTGAACACAAAACCGATAAGGACGCCTGACTTAGTGCCGCCGCTTTGGCTGGCTTCTCCTCACGCCAGGAACATGCTGCTTTCTAATATTTACACACAACTACAACGGCAAATGTACCGTAACTTCACCCACACACTCCCCCCCCCCCCCCCCCCCCCCCCCCGGGAACCGTGGGCCCATTTGTGTGTGTGTGTGTGTGTTTTTTGGGAGACAGGGTCTGGGTTTTTTTTGACAAAAAAGGGAGAGGGAGGGCTAAATTACAGCACAAACTGAGTGAAATTTCCATCGCATCTTTTCATCCAGGAGTTCCAGGAGGAGGTATAGGTGTGGATGATTGCAACTGAGTTTTTATTCTACTTTTTTGGGGGGGGTGGAAGTCTGGGTGAAAGACAGAGTTTCTGTTTGACTTTTTCCAAGGCGAGGGTGGAGGGTGAAATGCAGATTTTGCTGTCTGAGCTGTGACAATTGAAGAGCCAGGGAGTGGAGAGGGGAAGACACAGGAGGCCACTGACACAGCATATTATTCACAACGGCAAGACAAAGGAGTCCATACCATTGAGATTAAAACACAATGAAAAGAAAAAGGGCTTCTTCTTACTGGTAATTCTGTGTCATAGCAGGCGACGGAATGCCAAAATACATTTGTTATTTCTTTAGAATGTCAATACTTCGTGGAATGCATCTTAGAACATTGCATGATTTACATTTGTACTTTATTTCTTCCTTCAAGTGAAATGAGAAACTTTAAAGCTACGGTAGTTGTTGTTTTTGGCCACACGAGGGCAGCACAACAAGCAGAAAACATCTCAATACGTTGTTATTGCTAACATTGCTGACATGTAGTACAGGCTGTTAAGTCACCTTAAAATAGATGATTTCATCAGCATGCAACATTTCAAAACAATATTCGGCACTATTTAAACACTATACTTTCACTGTGTGATGTAATTAGCTGTTTGTTTTAAGTCTGCTTCTTGTTTCTTTTATGTGGTTTTTTAAAGTGTTTTATTTAACTCTTTAGCTGTTTTTACAGTCTGTTCGCTTTTTTTATGCAACAATTTTTTACTGCTGCCATCTAAGCCGGGACTCTCTCGTTTCTGAATCTCAATGGGAAATATTCCTGGAAAAACAATGGTTAAATTATTAAATACAAGAACGTAGAGGCTGGAAGTGAATCATTCTGAAGAGCAGCACATTTTTGAAAAGCTCAGCATAAGAACCAATAAGCAGGTCACCAACACGGAGTTATGGAGGCGAGGCACCATCACAACACCTTGTGACTTTAAGCCTTTATGCAAAGAGCCACCAAACAAGCTCTCAACTCCGGCAGTGAGAATGTGCATATATTTTACTGTAGGCGACGTCCTCTCTTGTGTTTGTGTTCTTCTTGTGACCTAAACCCTGAACAGGAACTACAGCAGGTACAAGAACGACAACTTGCGGACACACGCGGTCCTCTGTACACACCCACGTATCCCGTACATTCACACAAACAACCCAAGAACAAAGAGAAAGGAAAAGGGAATAACAGTGTGACAGCTGCGAGGCAGAACACACCCCGGCAGATGTTCAGGCTGCATCCGCGCTCGCATGACGGCGGATACAGCCTCCACACACGCACACTGCAGCACTGTAGAGCTGCATCTCCTTCAAACGCCTCCACTGTCTTTAACGCGGGCACGGTTCCTAAACAGTTTGAAACCCAAAGTTCCACAGTAAACTTCCAGGTTTAGCGATGTTAACTTTCAGTAGGATGCACACATTGTTCGGTCACAAAGAAGTCGAGGGATGCTCCAAATAATGTACACATTCATCAAAACCTTGAAAAACTCATTTTTCTTTTCTAATAAAAAGAAAAAGCTTCAAACTTTGGGAATGCAAATAACACATTATGATGGAATTATTATGGTCTAACAATCTAACAGGCAAATTAGAAATGCTATGTACATGGCTGTCTTATTAATGCATGAGTGACATCACCTTCACTAATAGAGAAGATACCTAAATGGTGTTTTACACTAAAAAAAGGTCTTTTGATTGATGTGCAATTATTGTCTTTTTAGTAGAACAATAACTGTAAACCAAGTTATTGATGAGATGTTTTTGTGTGGAAGTGGTTTGTTTCACCCTGAGTAGCGTCTTATATAATAAGTATATGTCCACCAAGCAGCTCAACCAATCAGAGCCTTGGGTCTGAAACCCAGGGCAGTAGAAGTCCACAGACCACTGGCTACATGCTCCTTCAGCTTATTGCTGCCAGCGCACAGCAATGAAGTATTGAAGGCACTTTAGATCCTCCCCTCATCTGTTTCTAGAGCTGGACACAGCTCACAGTGAATCAGTCTGAAAGTGCAAAAGTGAGGGGGGGGGGCAAAAACAGGATTTTGAAAATTGAGGTTATTTTCAGTCCCAGTGGAAATATCTGCTCTATGTTCAAGTGGTGGGCAGCTTCACATCGGAAACGTAATACTGTTGGCCACGATAACATCATCAGAAGGTGCATCATTCAAGTCGGGCAATTAAGATAAATTGGTTGAATTCAGGGAAAGACTTTCGAGAAAGTGGAAAACCTTCTCACGTCCTGCGTTGTCCGAGTTGCATGTATCCACCGTATACACCTTTACACCATCACGTCCTCTCTGCCTTGTGATCCTTTGTGGTTCTGAAATCAAGCATATGTACTTGACCCTTTGCTAAGCCCCGCCCCCTGCTGCTACGTTACCATGGAGCCCATACTGCCACTAACTGCATTTTAAAGAAATATTATCAATATATTATGGTTTCAGAGAGAGGCAAATATAAGCATATATCCAGGAAGTCAAACTTATTGAGCAGTGAAAACAGGTTAAAATGATAAAGATAGAAGCTAAAGCTACAGATCACAGTGTGAGACCGTCACCTGGTGATCTTCTTTCAACTTCTGTGGGTAAAACGTGCATTTGCCTGCTGGTTTGCACTGACCTTTGTAGTTAGTTGCTGTTGGATTGATTCAAAATATAGCCAGTCAGACAACTGAGGACTTCTTTCCTCGCACACTTCCTTAAAATAAGAATGGTAATCTTTGGGCTTGTGGAGGATTCCCCATCAGTCGAAGTCAAAGGGATCAAGTCCAAGTCACTGTGTTTGAGTCAAAGTCGAGTTGCGAGTTGTTTTTAATTTAGTCAGATTTGTCATTCAGGACCGAGTCCAAGTCACATAACTGGAGTCCACACCTCTGTTCTGCATGTCTCCGGTCTCGTCTCGGCTCTTGTGTAACTACATGCATTTGGACGTGTGACACCTGATGGCAGCATACTGAACTTAACACTACGCGTCGGCTTGTCATCCACATCCACGCCTAAAAAACATGAACTGCAAGAACGGAATGGAAGACGTCCCACGTCTGCTTTTCCTGCATGAACTTTCAGACCCTTCACCAAACCTGTACCTCACTGTGGAGGTTGAACACTTTCGGGTCACCTACCGCCCCGCCCGACCAAAATACTGACAATTGTCACAAACACGGGAAAACCCAGCAGCCCCGGGGGGAAACTGTTATCGAGTTATTGGCCCGGATCACCAGAGCGGTGGTTAGGCCTCTGCTGCGAGGCGTTCACGCTCCGCCGATCAGAGGCCGACCGCAGCCAACAGCTGCCTGCAGGCCGGCCAGTGGAGAACACGTCCACGCTCAATGAAAAAGAAACCTCTCTCTGCAAGCAGAAAAGATGGTAGTGTTGTGTTTAAGTGCTGTCCCTTTCCACCCCAACCCCACCCCCCCACCCACATCCATTTGCCATCATTATGTACTACTGCCCCCTACTGCGGGACCGTGGCTGAGGCGCCCCCAAGGTCAGTGTCTGTGTGAGGGGGGGGGGAGGTGGAGAGGAAAGCCATGCAGGGGGGCCCTTTACTCCTGAAGAGGCTGGAGCAATCGATGGCGAGCCACCAGCCGCCACGGGGGCCCCCCCCGAGGGCCCTCACAACACTGACATTAGTGGAGATGTCTTCCTCCATGGGGACGGTGGGCTGTTGGGAGTTAATGAGGGAGGTGGGGGGTACCGTCGGGGACGGTCCAGAAGCTTGAGGACAAGTGTGGATGGGGGGGGGGTGGACAGCTCGTCAGCAGCTTCTCATGTGTGAAATGTTCTCCTGTATACTCGCTCTGATGGAAACATTCTCGGACCATTTGACGATGGTTTCACAACTATTTGAAAAAATGTCTGTCATAGCTGTACGCTGAGAAATGTGACATTTCAGCAGCAGGACAGAGATGGACAGGAGGACAAAGAGCTGCACTTATTTGCAAATGCAAGCCCCCCCCCCCCCCCGATATAAATTTGACCATGTCTATTCAGAAAATGTGCTGTCTGCTCTTATGCATTAGCTCAGCAGTGGTGCATTTATTCCTTTAAAGGTTGGGGAAAAAAGTCAAACGTGACATTCACGTTCATCTGGCTTGAGTGTTTAAAGTAGTTGCATCTTCAAAAATCCTTTTTTCTTTCAACTCAAGCAAATGCATGACAACTGGGCTTTCCTCGCTAAAACCCTTCACAGGTCTTCACTCCAGCAGAGCAGCAGGACGGCATCTTCACTGCTCTTAAAAGGAGGCGGAGTTATTCTCTTAATTAAAACCAGAAGATTGACAGTTTATCATCCTCTTTATTGAAATAGATCAGGCTTCAAATACAATCAAACATCAACATGTAGCAGTGTGCGACAGACAGAAAACATATAAAAGTTGAAAAGGAGACTTTTAAGAAGCAGAGGAGCGACAGGACTGCTGGAGGAGTGTGGAGGTGGGTCCTTAGGCGCTGGTCTTCTTGGGTCTGCCTCTGGATCTCAGGACCAGTCCAGGTGACGTCTGGGTGCCCATCTCTACCAGTCTGGATTTGGCGTCGCTCGCTTTTCCAGTGCCGGGTACCTTCTTTGGTCTCGCAGTTTTTTTGGGACTTTTCTTCACTCCATTGACTGCTGTGGAGGGACATCCATCATGTTTAAGCACCGTTCTTCATGTACATCATTTGACAGCTGCTTGCTGTTACTGATGTCTTTGACTTCTGTCAGTCTAAACCCAGTTAACCCGTGGAGACACTGTGACTGGTTACGCATATTGGATTATAGGTTCATTTAAATAAAAGCACAAAGACATTTACACCACTAAACATGGAAAGAGCTCTTTGAAATGCGGATCACTGAGTCAGTGGAACACTGGAGAGAAAGGAAAAGGCGTCTATTTCATTTCTTGTTGAGTGGTTAGTTACCAGTTGATGGTTGTCAGGCTATCAAATGGGAAAATGAAGGAAGGAAGCTGACACCGCTAACACTGATGCACTCCTGCTCTTCCTCGTTAGGAGCTGCCACAGCTGCTCTGGAAGTCTTTTTAATTTGCTCAGATGAAACATCCATCTCGGAGAGTTCAACCTCGACTCCGGTGAACAATAGAGATGCCGGATCATCATTGCGTCACTAGCGCTCGACGCTCTGCAGAGGAAGAGGTGGGGGGGGGGGGGGGGGGGAGCTTACCTTCATATAGATACCAATGTTTCATCAACCATAGCCACAATAACCACTGTTAATGCTTTGTACATGTTGGGGGAATCCCAGATGCCGATGTGTCCGGGTTCTTAAAGTCATCTGAAGGCACTCGGTAGCTTTCAGCGTGTCTAGCGAGCCACACACACGCTGGCTGGTTCTCCACAGAGGTATGAACCCAAAAGAAAGGAGTCTTTGCAGTGACTATGTATGGAACCACGCGTAAAGTTGGCTTTGCATTTTGGTCACATCTGCTTGACCAATCATGATCGACAGCACTGCTGGCAACCAATGAAAGTGCCGTGAACTTGAATTACGTACCAGTAACTCAGCAACAAAGAATAACGGCTCCTGCTGAGGAAAAGACTAAAGAGGGAAATATTTACCTCTTTTCTTTGTGACTCTCTTTCTCTTGACGAGTCCTCCGTCCGGCTCACTCTCATCTGCTTCTTCTGCTTCATCTGCCACCTTCTTTCTCTTGCTGGTCTTCTGGAAGAAGGAAATGAGGGGGGGGGGGGGGGGGGGGGGGGGGTTGATTAATACGCTGTGTACCTCAGTGTGTGGAAGTCACCAGGCTCTGTAAAACAATATGTAACTAATATAGATACACATTTATTGAATTGTCATTTATTATTAAAATAATAAACCAGCAACTTCAAAAATCTTCAAAATTAACTTGAATTACAATTAAACTTTAAACCTTTTAAATGAAGCAGCAAATCAGACAAACAGGAATTCATATTCCAGATTATAATTGATATAGTATAAACACATGGAGTGACTAGATCAGAGCCATTGTCACCGTCACCCCATCCAGCTATTTGAGTCAGTCTCAGCCAGATATGAGAGTCCACAAGTCTTTCAAAATAAGACAACTGCTCAAATGCAAAGTACAACACCTTCCTCTAAATGTTTAATTAAATGAAGACATTTTAGTTTTCAACCCGAATCCAGAAGCAGTGTAAAAGCTCTCACAGTGCCACCAGTGTCATCTGATAAACACCATCTCACCAGCCACCAGGACCAGATACTAATCCATCAAACAGAAACACTAGTGTGATTAAACAGTGGGCTCAACAAAGATGGAGGCCTCTCAGAAGCAGTGCTAGCGCAGCGCAGAGTTCCCCGTCAACTAGGACTGCATGGACCTTTTCTTCTGGTGCACTTAATGAAGGCAATCAACTCCTCCCCCTCCTTCCTGGGCCTCTATAATGAAGCTACACTCTCAGCCTGAACTATCACTCACACACACTGCCTGCCTGCCTGCCTCCCCCCCTTTACATTTTCCCCTCCATTTTGACAATTGCTACCCCATGATCACCACACGGCACCCGCTGACGTGAACAGATTGGCGGGATAATTATATACAATAACCAGCGCTGGGGCCCGGTAACCTTTCGGCTGAAAACTCCATGTCCCCGGTGACATCTTCCATATGCACCGATACTTACTATATCTATCTATCTATCTATCTATCTATCTATCTATCTATCTATCTATCTATCTATCTATCTATCTATCTATCTATCTATCTAGATAGATAGATAGATAGATAGATAGATAGATATGAGTGTGTATGAGAGACAGAGAAAGAGAAAGACAGAGACACACAGACAGAGACAGACAGACAGATGTTATTGTTCATATAAAAATATTGATGAGTGAAGTGAACATTTAAGACCCAAAGAAACACGTCACTGAGAACTGAAGTACATCAGACAACTAACAACTCACTTCAAGACATTTTAATAATTCATAAGCATTTAGAGTGATAGGATTGACTGTACCATTGAAAAAAGGACAGATGGGAGGACGTTTTTTAACCAATGCTTAGTAATACAGATAACTACTGCAGTACTATGAAGCACCGGTGGCTGACGGACCGTCACAATTTAGTTTATCTGACATTAAATAAAGATGAATGAAGGGATGTCATCACAGAGAAATGACATTCTCATAGTGTTTGGACCGAGTTGCCCAGAGGACAAGAGATGGAGGGGGAAGAGAAAGGAGCAGGACTGCATCACATGTACCTTCAGCCATCACATTCTGTTTTATTGTCAACGTTCGATGTCTAATTTTACTGGATGATGAAGACATATTCCAACACTTCCTAATTAAAGATGAACATTTTTACATAACTGTATTAAGAACATTCCTGCACCTCAGCCTCTGTTTACTGGATTTGCAGCATGATTTGTACCGTTAAATAATATCTAAATATAACCATGAGGTCACACTTAACCTTAAAAAAAGAAGAAAGCAGCTGCATCCACTCCGCACATCACATTCAGAAACATGACATGTTGGGCAGTGGAAAGTAACCGAGAGCATTTACTTTAATACTGGATTCAAGTACTGGTTTGAGATATTTCCATTTTTAGTTACTTTGTAGATTGAGATTATGAGATGAAAATATGATGGGATAAGTGAATATATATATATTATTATAAATTAAGCTAATGTAAAGTTCTTCACATTAGTCCCACCTTTCAAAGCTGCAACCTTAAAGTGACGCTTCCATAATCAAAATCAAAAACAGGCTAGAACATATAATGTTAGAACATCAGAAATTGGCCATTCTGATGATTTTTATAATAAATAAATAAATAAATAGTCTGGAGCCTTGTAGACCAGCTGCTTTAACCAAACAACGAAATAGTATCGATGGCAAAAAAACATGAGGGATCTCTAAAAGTTATATTTGCTCCCTTTTTACTTTTGTGCTGTGACTCTGCTGAGCAGGTAGAGAACAGGGGGTTTTAGAGCCGCCTGCTGGGGTTGAAAACAACACAGAGCGATGAGAGTGAACCCAGAGAGTAAAGTTGTGGGCCAGCGAGCTAAACAAAGAGCTGACGCTCACTATGAAGCTATAAAAGAGTACATTTTGCTGATAAAACTTGATTAGTTTTACTTCAGTACCATTTGGGATGCAGGACTTCTGCCAACACGTCTGCGGTAGCTTAGCTAAAGGGCTAGCCATAGCTCAACATTAGCCTGTCTACATGGGCCACACGGTACGACATGATTCACACGCCTGTGGTGTAAAAGACTGTAGTTAATCCGTGATCCGTTGTGTGTTTCAGTGTGTGTGTGTGTGTGTGTGTGTTCACCTGGGCGGGGGGTGAAACAGCTCCACTGACGGGAGTGAACTTCAGCTTGCCGTCATCTTTAGCCTTGATGTCCGCCAGTCCGGCCTGCAGGATGGAGCGCAGCTTCTCGTACGGCGGTTTGTCTTGGTACCCCACAGACTTTACCTCCTCCATGAACTTCTGGATCTCAGCTGCAACACAACAGAGCGACAACGTGGTCATCGTAAACCAAAGCCTGCAACCAGCTCCTTGCCTCTATGCCACCATAAGCGTGTCTCTCATTTCTTATTTGTGTTGTGATCGTCTTAATGTTGTTTGTACACCGCCTACCACCGTTTCGTTTTGTGACATGGCTTGTCTCCATGAAGTGCTTCTGTCCGTGTCTCGTGACGGGGGGGGGGGCTACATAAATGACCCTGACTGGACTCGGGCATCTCTCTCTTCGTCACCATAATGTTCTGCTCCGGTCGCAGCGTCCCGCCTCATTCTGTGCGCTGTGACTTTCCTCAGACTTGACACACGGTCACAAACACACTCACAGATGGAGTTGTAAACAACACTTTGGTTGTGCTCAGCAGAGCAGAAGGAAGGCGGTGTGACGCTCCGCATTCCGTCTCCTCCGCCTGAGCCGACACGCTGCCTGCAGGTCAAAGTGCCAACAAGAAGATGGCAACTCTTGAGACAACAGACGCCAAAGTCGCCATTTACAGTCGGAACTCTAAATGTTTACTGCGGCGTGTCGTCGGACTTCTATCCTGATGAGAATCAAGCAGGTCTCAGTCTGGAGGGCTATAGTTGGTGTGAATGAATGTAAATGAAAGATGGCATTCCTTTTGACAGACAGGGATCATGTCACACACTAATATGTTCCTCTCTGTGGAAGTCTGATTCAAAAGAAGTCTATGGCTATGACTTATCTATGAAATCGACTCTCATATGCTTAGAAATGATGACAAATTATGAGAGAATAACGCAAACACACTTGCAGATGTACATACCGTCACTGTATTGTTAAGCTACTCTGGCTTCTCATTCATTATTGCACAACTTTGAACATAACTTATTGGATGGGCTAATTACAGTCCTGCCAAAGCCACATATACCTTATTTATTAATTTTTTAAAATTATATATTGGAAGATTATAATCATTGATTGCTGTCGGGACGAAATGTAACAAAAAAAAAGAAAAAAGATGAAAAACATTACTATTTTGTGATATTGGGCTATATTTAGAATTGACTTAAATCTGAGGAAGAAGCAGGGACACTTTTTGTGTGTGTGTGTGTGTGTGTGTGTACACCTCTGTGCACATGTTGGCTGGGTATGGTGAGGTGCTTTGGTCTGGACCCTTTTCTATTGATGCTCATTGTGTCTAAGGACTGGTTCAATCCTCATCACACACAGCTGGAAGCTACAAACAATGCTGTACTACCGGGCTATTAAGCAGCTGGAGAAAGTGGAGGGTCATGGGTAATACTAGCCAATTCTTTTACTGGTTTCTATTCTTAATGGCCATGAGAAGTCTGCCTTTCTTACCTGGCTTGTCTTGAGAGGAGAAACACTTGGTCATAAATTCAGAGATATTTTCTTGGCTCCTGTAAGAAAAAAAAAAAAAAAAAAAAAAAACAAGCGGCGTGATTATTTTTTTCTTCCATAAAAGTTTAAACATTCTCAGTTTAATACAACTCGCTCTACTTGAAAGGTGAAAATTGCTAAGTTGCAAATTCCAAACGTTTGCCTGCCGAGATGCAGCAGACACGCCCATGCATTCAGTGACACAACTCAAGCCCCTCCCACCTGATCTTGGAGTCCCTGACGTAGAGCGGGTCCTGCAGCTTGTCCTCCCAGGGCAGCCGTCCACACAGCCACTGGACCATGCAGTAGCACAGGATCTCCAAGTCGCTCCGCCTACACGCAGCTGGAGCCAAACAAGCACATCAGAGGAGGCAAACACTGGCAGCCGCTCGCACTGCCATGAATAGCAACAGCAGCATTACAAGGGGAAACGCAGCGTTACCACCATTGTGAATGTTTCCGTCTTACACCAAATCCATTATAGGAGTAGTTCCACATTTTGGAAAATAATTGAAATGAGGAGATTCCCATCAATCCCATGCGGCTTGGGGAATTATGTTTTGAAATGTATTTTTAAACCAAAATGTGTTATACGAGTAGTATTATGAAACAGATTTACCCTGTAAAACAACGGTAATTATAAGTTATTCCAACAGGTACATACAGTTCATTAAATTAGACTTCTGTATTTCCCCATCCTGAGCGTGTTTAGGAGCAGAGGCCGGCTGGGAAGCTACCGAGGAGCCACTCGAGGTTCAGTGTCTCTCTCGAGGAAAATTGAACGTTCAGACAGGAGGTGGAAGAAGTGAATAAAGATGGATTCTTCTTAAGAAGTTGGAAGCCAGTTTTTTAGCACTTGGGAGACTACCTCAAAGTGAGGAAGCACATCTGCTACGAGCTACCGGAAGCAGCCAATGAGGCCTTCTCTTTCTGCCTCAATAGCTAAACCAAACTTATACAGAGCCTTTCAAAAGGCAAAGGTACCTCACATGAATGAGAACACATGTAATGTTCAACAACCCACCTGTCAGTTTATCCTCTCTGTGTGTGAGACCAGATCACAGAATTAAAGCCCTGGCAGTCGGGTTTTAAACGTTACAGAGCTACGAGTATTGCACGTGTACCTACTTGCTCCTTTGTGGGCGTCGATGCTCGTGAACTCTATGGTACCGTCGTGACATCTCTTGGGGTCCTCTTTGTACTCTTTTATGACACTGTCGGGCGCGTACCTATATGCCAGCCCATAATCTACCAAGTACACCTGGAGAGAGACACTGATTCAGACATGCACAGAGACATTCAACACTATATACATGTGTACTTTTTCCAGGAAGAATTGTAATTCCACCTACATAAACTGTATTGTTATTATTAAGTCTGCATTGTGCATATAAGCCAGACTTGGTTGTTGAATTTAATTAAGAAACGTGCAGAAATAAGACCAAACATACATCTCAGTGACTCCAGGGGAAAATATAAAAATAGCAGATACAAATAAAAAGAATAAAAAAACAACCGTACCTAATATTAAATCCTGAGGGGCCAGGTTTTTAAATTGTCATTTATAAATAGCTCTTTAATAACACCACCAATGATACATTATTAATCATCAAATTAAATATTTGTCCCTGCCTTGTTTGCTAGAAAAAGCGCTTAGCTGCTGCCATCTAATCTCCCCACACAAACACACACACACACACACACACACACACACACACACACAC